GTAGATTGGCTTAGTAAGGTCAGCTTTGGCGTCTATTCTTAGTCTAGTTTGTGCCGATGACTTTAGGCCTGTTCATTAATTTTGTGTGGATCACTCTCTTTGTACATGACAGAAAGATGATGAATCCTAACCTAACTCACAGATTAATGAGAAATTCGAAATGAATGCATTTGAAAAGTTTAAGAATGTCCCACAACCAGGAACTATTATCAGTATCAGTATCTGTGTGTGCTGGCTGGCAGCTGAATAGGCTGGCGATGACGGTCCCAGAGCTCTATACCTTTTTGCCAAACGTGATGCCTCATGGATTTGTAGCAAGGGTTCCGAGTCACCAGATCTCAGATCTGACCCGGTACTGCTGTCTGAAGAAAGTGTATTCGGTGCCAAGGCTTCAAGATACGTCCCCGGCAGCCCTTCCCACAGCCTTCCCAGGGGAGCCAAGCCTTCGGGCAGGACACAGTGCTGGGAACAGGTGTCAGACATATACTGCCCGCCCACAGCTGCCCCAGGCTGGCAGGCAGACAACTCAAAAGACTCGGTAAGAGCTGCTGGCAAGTTTGGGGGCTCTGTCCCTTCCCGAAAAAGCCCACCCCTAGATGGCATGACCATACCCCCAGGTCATCTGAGCCGGCCCATCCATGCCTGCTCAGATAACTGTAGCTCGCAGCCCCTGTCACTCTCAAGGGTATCCCGGTTTGAATGGTAAATCCCAGGTCACCTTGCCCTTAGACTCCCAGGTGAAACCTCATGATCCTCTAGGGAGGTCAAGACCCAGAAGCTGCCTTTGTTCAAAACTTAGTGCACCGTGGAATAATCCTCGTTTCTGTTTCATTCCAGGTGCATAGCGTAATGTCCATGTTGTCCTACACTCTGATCACAGCTCTTTTGATCGGCATACAGGCAGAACCACACCCAGAGAGCAATGTCCCAGCAGGACACGCCATCCCCCAAGCCCACTGGACTAAGCTTCAGCATTCCCTCGACACAGCCCTCCGCAGAGCCCGCAGCACCCCGGCCGGGGCAATAGCCGCGAGGGTGGCAGGGCAGACCCGCAACATCACTGTGGACCCCAAACTTTTTAAAAAGCGGCGACTGCGTTCACCCCGCGTGCTGTTCAGCACGCACCCCCCACCTGTGGCTGCAGATACTCAGGGTCTGGACTTGGAGGCGGGTGGTGCTGCCTCCTTCAACAGGACTCACAGGAGCAAGCGGTCGTCGTCGCACCCTGTCTTCCACCGGGGGGAGTTCTCGGTGTGCGACAGCGTCAGCGTGTGGGTGGGGGACAAGACCACCGCCACGGACATCAAGGGCAAGGAGGTGATGGTGCTGGGAGAGGTGAACATTAACAACAGTGTGTTCAAACAGTACTTTTTTGAGACCAAGTGCCGGGACCCCACTCCCGTGGACAGCGGGTGCAGGGGCATCGACTCGAAGCACTGGAACTCATACTGTACCACGACGCACACCTTCGTCAAGGCGCTGACCATGGACGGCAAGCAGGCCGCCTGGCGGTTCATCCGGATCGACACGGCCTGTGTGTGTGTGCTCAGCAGGAAGGCTGGGAGAAGAGCCTGACCTGCAGGACAGCCCCCACCCTCCCCGAGCTCCCCCTCCACACCCTCCTGGGCCCCTCCCTACCTCAACCTGTAAATTATTTTAAATTATAAGGACTGCATGGTAATTTATAGTTTATACAGTTTTAAAAAATCATTATTTATTAAATTTTTGGAAGCATCCCTTGTGCCGGAGCCCCAGTCATTTTACCCCACTGTGACCACCTACGAGGCTTGGGCCGTTGCAGGGTGAATTGCCCACAGCAACCCCTGGCTGGAACCCTCGCCCCACCCCAGCCAGCTCTGCAAAAACTTCAGGGAAGGCTGACTGGGTTCAGATATTAGCCTAAGCCAGACATGATTAGAAAGGGAAGTCTGCTGGATTGCAACTTCGCTCTGCATTCCAGAGCCAAAGCTACCTAATCCTTGGATTACCTGTCCCACCGCCCCGATGCAGGAGCCTTGATTGCTTCGCGCAGGGAGGTTTGTGGAGCCTCATCAGAAGCAGATCCCCTGCCTCAGGCCCAGCCTGGGTCCTGGAGGCCCTCACCATCTAGATAGGAGGAGACGTGCACCAAAGACCTGTGAGGTAGGCTTGTTCTTAGAGGGAGAGCTGCTTTTTGCAGAAATGCTGACCAGAGGAGCGGTAACGAGATAATCTCATGAGAGCTGTCATGGTGGATCTGATTTCATGTTAAGATTGCCTTAGTACTACTGGCTGGTCCTCGATTCGTCCTCCAGTGGCTTCCTGCAGAAAGATTTCATTATCCGAGAAAACAGGAGGGCCTCCAACACTCTTCCCACCCACTGACGGCCCCACGGCAACTTCCAGGGGCCCCAGCGTTGGCCTACAAGCCAGGGAGCCAGAAAGAACTTTTTGATTTCTAACTGGGTGATGTCCACAAGTGACCAAAGGTGGACGGGGTCATGGGACCGGCAGAGAAGATGGCGGGGGAGGAAAAGAAACAGAGTGAGAACCAACACAAAAGCCAGGGAGATGCATAGGAAAGGGGGGTCACGCCAGGAGGGAACAATGGCTTCCTGCCTGCCCTGATGGGAAAGCTAACGGGAGAGAGGAGAGGAGAGGCAGGCGAGGAGGGGGGCGATGGAGCAGAAAGAGGAGGAAGGTGTGTCATATTTACCAGCATCAGGATCCCGGGCTTCCAAGAAACCCAACACCGTGAGTAGTCATGTTTTGAGGGGTTGTCCTCATCAACACTGACTACTTCAACAGGTCTTAGAAAGAGATGGGGGTGACAGACAGACCCCAGGGGGCAGCCTGGCCCAGGGCTCCACCCATCCTCAAGCTGCCACCTTCCCCTGCGATTTTTTAATTTTTTCCCTGAAGGCACAGTTTTTCCCCCAGAAGAACACATACACTGAAACCAAGTTTTCACTTCCCTAGCCATCCCCTTCCTGCACGGGGTGAAAGCCCTGCTCTAGTTTTTAGATCCAGCTTGTCCCTCTGGTTAAAAAAAAACAAAAAACAAAAAACAAAACAGCAAATGGTCCTATTCATTCCTCTAGAACTTTCTCTGTCCCATCCGCCCCCAACCCAATCCAAATAGGGCAAGTTAGAAACGTCGAGAGCATTGGCAAGAGAGACATTTGATTAGGGTAAAAGCACGATGAAGTGTGCCCTGTTTTTTTCCATCAAAGCTACTGCAATTGGAATAAAGATTTATGTTCAAGAAACACCAACCAGAACATTGTGTGCCGAGATACTTGGTCAGATAAAGACCTGGGGGAGGGAGCCTCCCACTGGCCTGTGTCTGCGGCTTTTTGCTGGGCTCCAGTGCCCTCAGCCCCCCTGACCCCGCCTGCAAACAGTTCCTGGGGGGCCTTCCTCGTGGGGCTGGCAGGCCTGAGAGGGAGGCATCTAGGAAGCTCCCAGCCGCGAAGCTTCGTTGGTGAGCAGCTTGGCCAGCACGAAGGGTCTGGGGAGCTACTCCCGGCACTACGGGCCGCTGGGACCTCTCAAGAAGATATTTTGGGACTCTCCTGGCCTGCCCGGAGGGCTGACAGCCTCCAAACCTCTAAGGAAGGACGGAGGCCAAGGGTCAGGTAAAAGGAGGCCCCCCTCACCCCACTAACGCCAAGGCCCTCCCCGAAGGTGCCGGGGCTCCAGGCCCACCTCTGGAGTCACGGTGTGGGAGTCAGGGTTTTCACACCATGCCTGGAGCTCT